TTTTTTTTTTTTTTTTTTTTTTTTTTTTTAGAAATAACAAAGAATGGCAGAAATCTCGTCCAATGTCATTATTGTCAATGTTTTGTAAAGACTGTAGAATCATCTCAAAGGAGGCTTAGATTTTTGTCCTATTCTTTCTTGCAATAATTTTCCATTTTCCAAGCAATTTTTATAAAATAGGATTTGCAAATTCGAAATGTGAGTCAGCAACATTAGATCTGTCCGTTTAATGTTAATTGCTCGAGGAAACTGGTTTTTAAATGCAGATCAACTGAAACACTTGCATAATAATAATAATGAATACGAGTATTTATCCATGTGCTGAACAGTGCACTATCGTGTCTAATAATTGCACAATATTATTTCGAGAACTTCCTCTTAAGTTCCTCTTTTCATTTCATTATGGAAAAAGAGGAGAAAGGGAGAAAAGTTTCTTCTCGAATCTTACAAACATAAATTAAAAATTCCACTGTTAATTAATAAACCTTTTCATAATTTCTTCACGATCATTGATATGATAATTATTTTTCCAGTTTTTCTATTTTTATTTTCTCCTAACGATCGCACCATTATATAACAAATTTATCTGAAACAATAATCCTTAAGGTATTAATATCTTTTGATATTCATAAATATTTATATACTTTTCTATATCGTATAAATTTCTCAAATTTCTTCGATCCAATGTCTAGAAAAAAAAAGAAAAAGACAAATTTATTAAATTAAATTTAAAAAATTAAATTTAGAAAAAAAAAGGAAAAGACAATTTTACATCCGTAGCATGAAATTAAAATATATAAATAAATTAAATATTTCGATCCTTTCGTATTTTATTCATATTAAAGATTAATATTTGAATAAGAAGGCAATTGGAAAAAGATAGAGTCAATCCATCTCATCATCTGACTTCAAAACGTTAAACAGTGAACTTGTATGTTTTAGCATGGTTGCTGGGATGGTTCATGTGTAAAGCTGTCGCTTATATACAGGGCGTATCCGTGGCGGCCTCTGTCTACAGCCTTGTTGCGGTTTCCCTGGACAGGTATGTGGTACATGAACTTCTCAAAGAATGATTTCATCAATGTTCGCCCAGACACTCGACAATTCCAAATAGAACGTGCACAGTCATTCCAGAAATTGCTTCCTAATTGCTGTTTTATTTTATAGTAACTAGTGATGGGTTCGATTACGAACGTAAATCGAATACAAAATTTATATTTTATAAGATTTAAAATATATAATTTTATTTTAATTTTTCAAACTTGTTAAAAATTAATATTTTTTTTTTTTTTTTTTTTTACGTTTTAAGGAGATGGAAATTTCTAATTATACAATAAGAAATGAAAGAATTATTTAAGTAAGACAGTTATTTCAATATATTTTGATAAGCAAAATTGATTTCCAGAAAATACTAAGGAATGTTCCATCCCTTTTAGCGCCCCTCTGCTTCTCGCCTCATCTTATCTTTAAGGAATCGGAATAAGTTAGGGGTTGTTCGTGATTTATCGCGATGACAAGGAAATAAATAAGAATCATTTGTTGTTTATTACAGTTATTTACAGATGACAAATCAAAATAATTCACAAGATTTTCGCTACTTCCATTTCCAAAATGAAATTGAGGAAGGATACGAAATTTTATTCGAACGTTTATAAAAAAAACTTTGTAATGAAAATTCTGGGGTAAAAATTTAAAGAAGAAGATCAATGGAAGATTTTATAAAAATTAACTCAATAAATGAATCAAATTGGGACAAATTAAACTCACCTGTCTCTTTCTAGAGGGCGTTGAGAGGAAATGTTAACCATTTGTATATATCGATTGTTCGAGACACGTTTGCAGCTGAGAAAGAAAAACGAGAAACGAGACGAATATGAAATATTATTATGCGTGTATTGCGAAATCAAAGAGCCGCTCACGACACGTCACATTAAGTGCATATTCTTCCCTGACACATTTATTCCTCACCTACATAGCATAGTATGTAGCTGCAATTACACGTACCAACATCGTCGTCGTGGCATTCCAACTGCTCGTAAACGGTATTTTCATTAGCATAATAATAAGAATTTGCGTGGAAAAGTGTACCGCATGAATGATATTTGCTAAGAAAGTGAAATCTTGATTTTGTTTATTTAATTAACAGAGAGTTTTGGCATTAAATTATTTCGTTCTAAAAGTCCAGTTTTCTCATTTAAAAATTTTTTAGAAAAAGTTTCAAATTGTCAATAATTTATAGTGAGATTTTGATTTTTGTAAGATCTTTGAAGAAAGTTCACATTTCTTGTACAAATTAGAGTCAAAACAGATATCATTTCTTGAGAGATTTGAAGAGTTTAAAATTTATACAAAATAGAAATTGTAAAATGTATTAAAAATAATGTACATAAACTCTCTGAGTTAATTTTTTAAATTGTAATTTATCCCTTTATACAAATAATAAGAGATTATTCTTGTACTCAAGTTAATAAAATCAGATTGATGTTGAGTAGCAAAAAAAGAATGATAAACATGAAGAAAATGGTGGATTTTCATATGTGAAACTGAGAAAAAGAAGAGTAATTACTATGTGACAGATATGAGAAGACAGTAATAAAAAATAGATTATAGAAGCAAGTAATGAGATAATAATTGCAAAAATGAAAGAGTATAAATACCTTTCACCTATATGAGAAAATATTAATGGAATTCTAAGCCTTAAACAATTTCACAACACTTTATAAAGTTACCTATTATGATGTAAACACGTGTGTGCATCGTTTCATAAAAATTCAGTATCTGATTTAACCTCTTTTTACTCGATCTTTCATCGTTAATCGTCTAATTACTCGATGATCCGATAAGATTTGATAGAAATACGTTTATCATGTTGAAAAATCTTCAACGATCATCATAATGATAAATTATTGATGTTCAATGATCAGACAATCATTTTATACATCGCATCTAATTTTATTATTTATACACGATTCATTACATTATACTCAAGATTTATTTTAAATTTATGCAAATTATCATTGCACCGAGCAAATTAATTATCAAAAACATATCTGATAAAAATTATAATTAAAATATGATCTTCAATTATGCTATTCTCTGTTTAAAAAC